TACAGTTAAATGAAATATTTACAATGTGCGGGCGAAGTTGGGCAAACTGCGGCTGCAAGAGGGTCACGGGGCTTAAGTAAAACTGCAGTCCGTGACACCGTGGCATGCAGGGAAAATCAGTGGCCGTAGGTGGGCTGTTGGTTTGCAAACCGAGGTTGACCCTTGGCCTAATTTCCATTTTTTGTTGTTTTAGTTCTCAAACTTTCTAAAACTTATATTTTGGTCCCCAAACTTTTCAATTATTAATTTTGCGTGCTTAATCTCATGAATTCATACAATTGCTCCAATAAATTCTTCCAATTGATTAATTACACCTAGAGTGATCTTCAAGAGCCCCAATTAATCCTAATTAAGCTCAAAATCAAAACATTTTGCACCAATTGTGCTCAACCTCGATCTTTACATACAAATAACATAATTTCACATAATTAGGTAGAAATTCGCTCAAATAGGTCATAATTTATTAATATTAAAAGCATTACCAAGTGTTTAAAATACACGTATCACAAATAGATGAAAATTGATTCATTGGTTGTTATACTATAATGAATTATGAATCTTTCACATTATATTGTGGTATGCAACCCACCACTACGTGTCATAAAATATAATAATAAAAAATGCATATTTTAAATTTTAATCTAAAAATGTTTTATTGAGACGAATTTTATGATTTTTTGTTTTCAGATAATTAGAGCTTGTTTGATTCTCATTTATTGGGAAAAGAAATGAGTTTTGAATAGTATTTTCTAGGAGAATGTGTGGTTAAAAAGTAGAAAAAAAAAATTTGATGTACGTGTAGAATATTTTATTGTGTGAATGTGTAATTGAAAATGATTTTGTAACAAATTATAAAATAAATTAATGTGTGTAAAGAAAAAAAGAAGTGTCTTTGATACTACTGTAGTCGCAATTGTGGAGGATTTGGTCCCCAAATCCAACGGCTAGCCGATCGGCCTCTCGATTTCCCAATTTGAAATCCAAAATTCGGACCAAAAACACACAGCAAAACCGTTTCTTCCCTCTGTCGCTCCAGACATCGATCGACTCTCGATTTCTTTACCTAGAATTTGAAAGATCCAATTTCTTGGTTTAGAAAAAAATCAAGTTAGGGCTTATTGAATTTTCTTTCAGAAACCTAGGGTATATTTTCGTTGATTTTTCCGGGAAAAAAAATCTAGGGTATATTTTCTCGATGGATTTCCCACAAGAAAACCACATTTACATCAAAGAATTGATTGATGACGCTTTGGGACTCCCGGTATCTGCAGATGCGTTGCAACTCAAACTCCGTGCCTCCGAAGATGCTTGCCTTCGCCTTCGTAATCAGTACTTGTGTCTCCTTACCAAACTCAAAGAAAAGGACAACGTTATAGAAAGCACTAGGGTTTTCTCTTTTACCCCCTTTGATTTCCTGTTTTATTTACTATCACCTATATTTTTTTTCATATTTTATTTTGATTTAACCCATTTGTCAGGCGGAGTCAAGTATGAATGCTGTGGCGTTGAAGAAATTCATTGAAGAGAACCAGAAATTGGCCACGGAGTGTTCGAATTTGTTGGCGCAGTGCAATAAGTGGGAGAGGGAGTGCTTGCTTTATGATAACGATCGTGAGGCTTTGATGGATTTTGCAAATGAGGCAGATGAGAGGGCCAAGGAAGCAGAGATTCGGGTCCACAAATTGGAGGAGGAGAATAAGAAGTTGTCTGAGGATTTGCATCTCTACAAATGTCGGTGCGAGAAACATATGGTAAATTAATTTCCTCGCCAAATTTTCTAATATTTTTGACACTTACTTATGTTGTTCACTGATTATTTATTGTATGATTAATTGCGAAATTACTTTTGTGGGTAGCAATTAAATTATACTTTGGATATTTATTTATTAAAAGTCATAGGTTTTATAGGGCTAACTAACCAAAGAAGTGATTTTGGGTACAGGGAAAATATGAAGAAATCAAATTGATCTTACTGAGAGTATATAATTGCTTTGTTTCTCTTTTCTGTTAGAGAACTTCAAATTGTTCATTTAGAAAAATGGAAACTTGGATGATGGTCATAAATTCTGAAAATCAAGTATCTTTTTCAGTGATGAAACAGTGTCAACTTGGGCTGCATGAGTTTCTAGCAGTTTGCTGAATTAATTAATAAGCCGAGCATTTCCAAACCACCAAAATCATTACTTGCAAAATCAATTACTAGATGCAAGCTTAAGGCAAGATAAATGAGAGAACACAATGACCAATTGAAAGCTGGTTTTATTGAAAGCCACTAGTGTAATCATGTAAACTAACCAATGATGTGTTAACGCATATAGAGAAAGGAAATAGCATTTATATTGGTCTTACTGAGTGTGTACAATGTAAGTGCTTTCTTATTTTTTGTGTTAGAGAACACATGATGCTGAAAGACAACAGTGGCTTCAGAATCATTAGCTTTTTGTTAATCGAAGAGTTTTAGGACAACTTTCAAAACGTTTGTTTGCAGATGATCAAGAAATATGGAACTTACAGTGACTTTTAAATGTTTTATATTGGTGCTACCAATCACTTTGCGTAATAATGTTGTGGTGAAATGTTCTGGCATCGTGTTTTAGTACCAAATAGGTTGTATATGTACTTGGTGAATGTCTTGATATAATTGATCATATAAGTTTCAACATGGTTAGTTGAACTTTCTATAGTTGATCAAGTTCTTTCAGTTGAACTTAATATACTGAATTTACCTATGGAAACAAAAAAAGGAAAAACTTAGCAGTGACACATGAAGAACATATCAAGGGAATTCTTTATGTCATTACTTTAAGTAACATGGCTAATGGAGTTATTCATATGGATTGTGTGAATTGAACTATGGATATCTAGTGAAGTGGATTAAGTGAAATCTTTGTGTAACTTAACATGACCGTATTAAAAATCATTGTTGAAGGCATGCCAAGACGTGCACACAGAAAAGTGTGATTTGTTAAATTTCTGCTCCTTTTGTGTACTTCATTTGAACCCTTGCTTTTATTTTAGTGTTCTATATATTATTTTGATGTTTCAGATACTGGGACAAGTTGTTTGATGGACATCTCATTCTGAAATTGATTTCTTTTAGAATTTGCTCATGTTAATGGTTAAATAGACTGATATTTGCTGAAATTTAATTATAACTGCTGCAATTCTGGGTTTTCTGAAAATATTATACATAGGCAAAGTTTGTTTTATTTGAGATGCATTTTGGTTTGATGAAATGTGTTTCTTTCTTTTCTGAAATTTATTTCTTGTGGAATTTGCTCAAATTAATGGTTAAATAGACTGATATTTGCTGAAATTTAATTATAACAGCTGCAACTCTGAGTTTTTGGAAAATATTATACATGTGTAAAGTTTGTTTTATTTGATATACATTTTGGTTTGATGAAATATGTGCTTTGCTTTTCTGCTTAAGCTATGAAAACTATGCCTATTGATGTCCAAGCGCAGGCAAGTTAAGTTTGTACGTTCATTCATTAATTAGGTATTTTAAAGTGAAGGAATTGTTGTATCATTCGTTTATTTATTAGGCATTATAAAGCATAGGAATTTTTGTATGAAGTTTTATGTTCTTTATTGGGGCAGGAAGGGGTGTACAGGAGTAAGATAAATCTTTTGCTAACAGTTTGATGCAGATCGTATGAGTTTGTTATAAATTCTATTTCTTTTTGAATTTGGTTTTGGCATAAACCCATAGAACAAAACATCTAGAAGCCACATGTGCCACAGAATAAATTTGAGAGGAATGAAATTAAGTTTAACTATGAGTATACTGTAATGATTATTTTTCCTTCCTTAATTATTTTTTTTGTGCATGTTATGTTGAAAATTCATTATGTCTTTCATTTTTGAAGTTTAATGACCAGATCATTGCCCAGTTTAGGATTAGAGACTGAACTCCGTCATAATTGGAATTTAATTTAATTTCTTTTGCTGATTAGTAGTATGTTATGTGATTTTCCTCTTAACAATTGAGTTTTAAGACTTCTTAGTGTCAGCTAATTTACTGTATAATATTTCACAGACTCAGGAAGATTGATTTCATGACATGGGTTAAACATATAGCGTAACTTGATTTTAATAGCATGTTTGGAAGTGTTTATAAATGATTTTTATCAATATATAGAAATGAGGATAAGTCGTTAGTACTTTTGGGTCAATCGAAATGTGTGGATAAAAAATGGATTGAATGTTAATAAACATCAACTAAACATAGTTTAAAAGTAAATAAGTGGGAATATTCAAACACTCCATCCCATTTTATAGAAGTGAAATAGCTACTATATCATCTGATTTTTCGAATATTTGATGATAACCAATGCAATAAAATATGTAATCAAGGATATTTTCTGGTTGGTGATGACACTTGTTCTGTCAAATGAAGATCCTGTTGCAATGAGTGCACTAGGAAGATTGTTGTGTGTCATCTACAGTTGGTAAGTTAGTGTTGTTGGAAAGTCAAATAATATCTGGTTGAGATGTATGGTAATAGATTGAACTTCCACTTGTTGATTTAGTTATTTAATTTGAACTTGATATACTGTTCTCTTTCCTAATGACTGGTGGCTTGCACTAATTATCCTTGATTACAATTGAATTCATAAATTTAAACTATTGGAGCTTATGTTTGAAAATTGAAACTAAACTATGCAATTACAAGGATAAATAGGGTGGTAATCTAGTACGATTAGTGGTGATTGTTAATGTTGAAGTATGATTTGGTTTAGAGAATTGATAAGAATGTTGAAAACCTAATAACTTGACGCTGTATAGAGAAGCGCCACTTTGCACAAGTAATCAAACTGGTCTTGTTTTTAAATCTAGATATAACAAAGTACAAGTAATTCTTCATTATGACATTATCTTTGTTTCATTCCTGTTTTGGTAATGTTTTTATTATTTTTATATTTTTTCCCTGCTTTTTTAGGGAATGGTGGGTGTAGATGGGATCTATGCGTGGCTATTTTGGCTTAAAGTAAATGTTCAGTTAATAATGTTTCATTAAATGGCCAATAATTTGTAACTTGTTTCTGGGGATAAATTCATTGAAGCATATATTGTGTGAATGTATTATTTCAATTTTTTTGTCAAAGGAAATAGGTTCAATCCTTACTTTATCTTCACATTGTTTGTGTTTTAAATAGTCATTTCATTGCGGAACTCATTTGTGTTACCAATTTAAGCACCCGTTTGTCTTCCATTAAAATGAGTTTTTTGAGTAAAATAAATTTTGGAATAGTGATTTTTTGGAGAATGTGTGGTTAGAAAGTAGAAAAAGTTTTGGGTTTACGTGCAAAATATTTTATTTTGTGAATGTGTGGTTGAAATGAGTTTGAGAAAAAAAGTTTTGATTTAATGGAAGACAAACACGGGCTAATAATTGTTGAAAGTTCCACATACCTACCTATCTGTGTTTTAATTATCTTTTCTTTAACATAGAGGAAGTCTTCCGAAATTGTAGGTAAGCTGTGTCTTCTTTGCTTTAACATAGATGAAGTTCCACAACCTGCTCTAGAGCCTTCATCTATGTAGGTTTTGTTGTAAGATAGTTCAGAAAGGTGAAATTCTTACAGGACATATAGTCCTCAGATCCTTTAATATTGTTCAGCAACTTTCTAGATTGCTATTATCAAAATGGTTAATTTGGCTGAGATGATGAGAATTCCACTTTAGAACAGCTATTTTTTCTTAAAAATTGCACAGCCTCAGTTCTATTGGCTTGGGAGTGAACACACGGTGGTTTGGATATTTGCTGTTAATGGTTTATTTACAGTTACCTCTTTATAGCTTTTGGCAAATGATGAGAGGAATGGTTTTTTTCTTGGAAAGCTATTTAGGGAAGTAAAGTTCAGCAACCCCACCCCCTTAAAGAAAATGTCCCCGTGTCTACTGTAGCTGGAGATGCCATAAGAAAGCAACGAGGGGATGTGACTTGCCTTCTGTTGCATAGCGAGGTGTCTGCCAGTTTTTGGAATACTTGATGAGTTTATTTTGGGTGGACTGGGTCATTCAGCAGTTGTTGATACCTTAGAGTGTTAATATAGAGTTGAGATTAGCAATATACTGGCAGAATTCTGCTCCTCATTGTTTGATAGGGATGCTGTGGAGGGGAAGGAATTGGAAAGCCTTTGAGGGGGTGGAGAATCCTGTTTTTGTAGCTGACAGAACAGTATCTATTCCTGCTTTGATGATTAAATTTGACATTTTTATACTAAATGTTACCTTATATAGCACTGTGTACCATCTACCTAGTAATTTAGCCCTTGTTTGGTTTAGTTAAAAAGTTGATAAAAATCTAAGTCAAATTAAAAAAATAATTTTAACCATACATTTCATGGGACTCATGCATTTCATCAACTTTTCAATCACGCGCTTTATCAACTTTTATCAAAATCTATTAGAAGTTTGATTCTTAGCAAAACCAAACAGGGGCCTAATTACTTAAATTTATCCAAACATATTTTGCATGATTAGCTTCTCCAAAATGCTGTCTCGCATATAAACTATGCTAAGAGTGCTATTTTAACATATGACGTGTCTTTACATGCTATTTTAACGTCAATTTAGAATGAACCCTTCCTCTGGGGTGCAACTAAAGTGGAAGATTGGGGACCAAAATGCTATATTTGGAAGGTTGGGGACAAAATTGCAATATAGTCAACAGGTTGGGGACCACTGCTGCTATTTTCCGTCTTGAAATGGTTATGCGATAGAATGCACATTGGAAGCATTTCTCAATATCATCTGATAGGGAGGTACTAATGTAATTTCTACAAGAAACTGAGGGTGCTATAAAAGAGACCAATATCTGTAGGATATCTATTAACACACGAAAAAGAGACCAAATTGGGAGTCACAAGTCTTTGAGGAATGTAGATAATCAACTTGATAGTGTAAGTCGAAAATGTTTCGTTGAGTGTTGTGGGTAGTGGAGTTACCATAATACGGTAGTGCTGAAATTCCTTGATTTTATTTTTGTGTTGATTTTGTCTTGTATGTTTAGCATTTTTATTTCATCCAATATTTTCTTGTTTCCTTCTATAGTTCTATTTCTTGCCAGATACTGCTATAGATAGATAATGAGATGGATCGTACTTTGCATTATGTGATGCTAAGGAATTCTGAGTATTGGTTTACTAATTGAATTATCGTATGTGATGGCTGAAGATTGATGCATGTGCTGATGGTACATCTACGGAACAGACTTTACTTGATTCATTATTGGCAACTATGTTTGGCAAGTATGAAATCGTATCAACTGCACATGATTTTTTAGAGGCCTATAGTGGAATTGAAGTTTGCCAAAAGATTCTGAAAATGTGGTACAGGTGAGTTTTATATCCCAGCTCAACTTTTGACAAACATGTTGGTATTTAAACTATATTAGACTTCACTATATCTAGATCTTTCTTTCACAACTGGAGTCAATTATCTGACTAAAATTGTTATTTTAATCGTAGTTTGAGGCCATCAACTCAGAAGGTTGTGGCACTGGTGGCTGAGGCAAAGAATTTGGAGAAAGACAAGGACCATTTAACGATTAACCTGCATAGAGCTGAAAAGGAGGTATATAAATTAATAGAAAGATCATTGCACTGTCATGGTAGCCTACGAATAACAATAAATTATATTTTTTGACGTGTTCAGGTAAAACTTCTGTTTCAAGAAAACAACATATTAGATAAGGAAAATAAAAGGTTAATGAGGCAATGCTATAGAGAACAGAATGCTGCTGCTTCTGGTGGAAAATACTCGAGCAGTGGTTCTATGAAGGTTCGGCTTTGCTCATATACCCGTTTTTCATAAAATGCTATTGAGAACTGACAATTTTTTTGTTGTTTTACTCATGGCGTCATTTAATTTCTTGCAGGGGAATAAACGAAAATCTAGCCTTAAGTTGAGCAGTCCAGTGGATACGAAAATTGATCTCAGCGATATCAATTCACTTAGGCAGCCTCTCTCGCCGTTGCATCCCAACTCGCCTGAATCTAAAATGCACAAGAAGTAGCAAAGGATTTTTTTTTTCCCCTTTTTTTGGTGTATTTTCTGCAAGCCTGAGAGATTTTGTTGCAGCCCCCCATATTCAAGTTGGTGCAATCTGATTTACGCATTTACATTACGTATCATTGGGGAAATTGTGATGCTAATGCTTGATTTGATGTCAATGGAAATCCATTTCGTCCTTATAAATTTGGGATTCTCAAAAGCCAGAGTTACCTATCTATCTATCGTTTTTCTACTTGATTATGATACCATGTAAAAAAAGAAATTATGGCTACTGCCTCCTGCATTCTGGTCCGTGTTAGAGCAGATGCATTGAGGTTATCTGAATGTTAGCCATGAAGTATAATTTGTATGCAATACCTGTTAGTAAGGCTTAGTTTGCAAAATTACTCTTTTGGATTATTATTAAATTTTTTTATTTCATGGTCCTTGGCTTTTAAGTTTTTGTGCAATTGGGTTCTCTTTTGATTGAAACCTCCAATCAATTATCATGTCTCGTTCTTCAAGGTGTATTTTCGCTAATCAACTTCTATTTCTATAAGATAATGAATAAGAAGAAGAACAACGAGGAGGAGGAGAAATCATCTCTCTATGAACATACGAGCAATATTACTATTATTTAACAAGCATTAATATGCAAAGGACACTTGCATACAATGGCAGCAAAATGGGCGAGCAACCGAGGGCAAAGTGACCTAGCTCGTGAAATTTTGAGAGCGGAGTCGATCCACCCGCTTTGGTTCCCTTCATGGGTTGGTTTGCCTGATTGTAATTGGAAACCTAAAACCCCCTGTTGGAAACCTAACCAGTTTGAAAATCCTTTCCGAATGTGCATCCCTCATCGTAATAGTAACGAGGCGAATATGGATGAGTCGGTCATTCCCATCGCCTGTCCATATACCCGGTTAACGTGGCACGGAGTCGGGACGGGACATGGTCTTTGCCAGAGACGGACCCAGCACCCGGCCAGGGGGGGCAACTGCCCGTGCTGGGCTCCGCCGGAGCGCTTCCTGTGCAGGCTCTGGTTCGTCTTCTCCAGTAAGGTTCCTTTCTTTCTTTTTTTTTTTGGTTTTCAAAGTGGGCTACTAAGGCCTGCTGGTTTCTTTTTCTTTTTTAAGTTGTGTTGACATTGGGCCTCAAGAAATGAGCCTATATATTTGTTTGTTTTGAGATTGGGCAAAAGCGGCCCATTCATCTTCTTAACTTTTTTTTTAATTGGACTGGATTGGGCCATTTTTCTTGGCCCAGTCCTTAATAAAAACATAACATAAGCCTATCCTCATTATCCCAATCGAAAGAATTTTTGAAATCAATCCCTAATTGCTAAATTCCCAAATTCTCCATACTCCAGTCTCTTCTCTCTCCCGACTAAGGACTGAACAATCAGCCGATTCAGCCCAACGTGACCGTGACGCCGTCGCAACTCGCAAAGGGGCAAACGTCTCCGGCAGGCGGCAGTGATTCAGGCAGCGCGGCAGTCGATTTTGTGAAACTCGAGGGCCGAAACCAGCGACGGACCCCGCCCCCGGCCAGGGGGGGCCGCTGCTCGTGCTGGGCTCCGCCGGCGCGCCTCCTGTGCAGGCTCTGGGTCGG